TCCCGGATTTGGGGTTCTGATCCCGGATTTGGGGTTCCCATCCCAGATTTGGGGTTCCGATCCCGGATTTGGGGTTCCGATCCCGGATTTGTCCCGCAGGTGCTGCTGGCGGTGCTGTGTCCGGCCGATGTCCGGGGGCTGGCGCAGGCGCTGTGTCCGGCGCGGCCGCTCCGGGCGCGGCTGCTGCTGGACGAGGCCCTGGAGCGGCGCCGGGAGGGGCCCGGGGGCAGCGCGGGGTCCCTGGTGCTGCTGCTGGACAGGGTGAGAGCCCCTGGCCTTCCTCACCTTCCTCCTCCTCCTCACCTTCCTCACCTTCCTCCTCCTCCTCACCTTCCTCCTCCTCACCTTCCTCACCTTCCTCCTCCTCATCTTCCTCTTCCTCACCTTCCTCCTCCTCCTCTTCCTCACCTTCCTCCTCCTCCTCACCTTCCTCACCTTCCTCCTCCTCACCTTCCTCCTCCTCCTCACCTTCCTCACCTTCCTCCTCCTCCTCACCTTCCTCCTCCTCACCTTCCTCACCTTCCTCCTGATCTCCCTCAGCTTCATCTTCCTCACCTTGACCTTCCTTGTCTTTATCTTCCTCATCTTCATCTCCTTCATCTTCATCTTCATCCTCCTCATCAGCTTCGTTTTCTTCAGCATCTTTAGTCTTCCTCCTCTTCGTCGTCTTCGTCTTCCTCAGCTCCATCTCTTCATCTTCTTTGGCCTCCTCCTCCTTCTCTTCCTCCTCTTCCTCCTCCTCATCTTCCTCCTCCTCCTCTTCCTCCTCCTCACCTTCCTCCTCCTCACCTTCCTCCTCCTCATCTTCCTCATCCTCCTCTTCCTCCTCCTTTTCCTCCTCTTCTTCCTCACCTTCCTCTTCACCTTCCTCCTCCTCTCCTCCCGTCCCGTCCCGTCCCGTCCATCCCCCGTCCCTGACCCCGTTCCCGTCTCAGCACCTGCAGCGCCTCCCCTGGGAGAGCTCCGGAACCCTCCGGAACGTTCCGGTGACGCGGCTGCCGGGGCTGCGCTTCCTGCTGCGCTACGGGCTGGGCCCGCAGGTACCGCCACACCTGGGGGGACAGCTGGGGACATGGGGACACACCTGGGGACAGCTGGGGACACCTGGGACACACCTGGGGACA